TTACTTATCAAAATGTTAAAATTCTTAACATAATTTTGTTAGACTTATTACCATAGTGATAAGATGTAGGCAAATAAAACATAAAATGATTGCTAAAATATTATACTTAATAGAAGGAGTAAAAGATAAATGTGATAATTTTCCAGAAAGTTGGGTATAAAAGAATGAAAATAATGCCTAGGAATGTAGTTCTGTGGTAGAGTACTTGAATGCAAGGCCCTGGACTTAATCCTAGAGTACCATCAAGGAAATAATGACCACCACCCCCCAAAAAACACTTACCTCAATAGGTCCTTCACAATCTGGCTCTATAGTTTCCATTCCTGCCAATATTCCACATATAATCTAACTGCTTTGATAATATATGTCTGTACATAGTTCTATACCAGGATTTCTCAACGAACACTTTATAAACCCATAATTCCTTGCAGTGGGAGGCTGTGCTGCTCACTGAAGGATGTTTAGCAGCATCACTAACCTCTACCCATTATAATAATCCACATAATCCCACTGACTCCAGACATTGCCAAATACTTCTTGGTGAAGGAAAATATAAAAATCACACTCACTTGAAAACAACTGCTGCATACTCTTATAAACACTTCACCCTCTACCTGAAATAATTTCCCTACATCTGCCGAAAATTCCTACTCCTTTTGCAAAATCTACCTTAAGTCAAAGTTCCTTCTCCTTCCATCACTCACCTGTTCCTTTTTCTATGTTCTGTTTTCCTCTCTAGATAGTGAGAACCTCCATCTTATTATTCATTAAGGTTTCATTGATTTTAAGTGTTCAACAAAGTGTCCATGTGATAACCCTCCCTCCTATTGTCAGGAGAAGATTAGGTTCACTCAACAAAGTCTCACAATGAACATATAATCCTTCAGTTGTTTTTTATTTGTCTTTGCTTCTGGGAAACTGAAATTAAATGATTTACTTGGTTTCAGCAACCCTAGGTCTTTGGTATATCTAGTTCTATGATATTATTATTTAGTTTATTTAGGTTTATCTTTGAATCATCCATTTCTTTGTTTCATATTCTTTTTTTGGAATGTGAACAAGTAAAACTTAGAAATATACAGAAATAGAGTTGGGGTTGTGGCTCAAAGGTAGAGCGCTCACATGAGGCACTGGGTTTGATCCTCAGCACCACATAAAAATAAAATAAAGATATTGTGTCTAACTATAACTAAAAAATAAATATAAAAAATAAAGAAAAATTTTAAAAAGAAATATACAGAAATAAACAATGAAAATGTCACACCACGAAGACTACATTTCAAGAATAAAAAATGAGAAAAAAATCTCACTAATCAACATTGAACAGTAATTCCAAAGTTGATTCTATACAAACCACCATGTGTTTAAGTTATTTTAGGAGATGTCATAAATTTCCAAAGAAAAAATCTGACTTAATTTGCGTGTATATATATTATATTTCTAGATGAAAAATATATAAGCCAGCACTGTATGGAAGGACAGCAAATGAGCTAGAATCCTTTAATTATTAAATAACAACAAAACAATCAAATGTCATAGGCCAAAAAGTCTAGAGATCAGAAACAAGGAGAGATATCTTGAATATTCTGTGCCGTAAGGCTTATTTCTCATATAAGCAACTTTTGCAACCTGAGATATCCATATCTTTTCTCCTGTCTTAGAACTGGTCTCTACTGCCATCTTTTTAAAAATAATCTTGGTAATGTTGATTTCTAGGTATTGATCCTAAATTTCTACTGAAAATAATAATTTTAATTCACAGTTTTCTGAAAAATTACTTAAAGTAAGAAGATTATTTTAGCGCCTATGATTAATTTATAAGACAAGGAAATTAACTAATCAGGAAAGCAGCATCACCTATACTGGACTGCAGAAACTTCACAGAATAAATATGCAAATCCAATATCCTCAAGGCTGACATATTTCTATTATTAAACTGCTAACGTGTTTATTTCCCCCACAATAGATGGATTTTTGTCATGAATACGCATTAAGCCCCATAGTTATTAGCTGTGATGACTAGGTGACAGTGAGGACACTACTTGAGAATTTGCATTTGACAGATCATTGACACACATTCACAGTTCTCTTTTTTCTCTTCATTTAAACAGAAATCGTGCAGCAGGAAATGAACTGGAGCTATTAGAGATTATTCAGGTTTAATAGCACACATCTTTTAGCTGGCGGATAGAACAATACACAATGTGGCAGAGTTAAACAGAGGCATCAATTATATTCTCAGACCTGTTAATATTTTTGACAATATTTAAATAGCACATCCCTTCAGGGCATGGCTTTTTTGCCCTCTCAGTTACACACCTGTCAAGTGTTTAATTTGCCAAAGGGAAATAGTTTGATTTCTAAGGGTGGTCTTAATACTGAAGCAGCAAATTGGAAAAATTAAACATTATTGAATAGAAGTAATGAGAAGGATCTGAGGGAAAAAATTGTAGGCTTAATTCAACGTGGCATATTAGCATCTGTCATTAATGCAACAATATGATCATGTTCTCCAATATGCTGCATATACCTCAGGTTTTTCAATTATTTAACTCCCTTTGCTTCTCTAAAAGACAGGAGAATGGATGACAGAGGGGAAGAACTGAACAGATCAAATTTTCCAGTGATGGTAAAAAAAAAAAAATTGAAACAGTAACTTGCACCTGTTGTGCATATAAAAATTATACATATGAAAATATAATTTACATATAAGGTAATAAGTAAAAGCTAGGCAATGGTCAGATTTGGGTAGCCACTGATTGAAATGCATGAAACAAATTTTATTCCTTAGATATATTTAGTTATTAAATTATAAATATTAATAAATTAGCGATTGGTAAATCTGATGAAATTAGAATATTTATATTTTAATTTTAATATACAAAAATTACATAGTTTTAAATTTTTATTTTAATCATATATAAAATACTGATAAGTAAACAGAATTGAATTAGTAAAAAAAAATGGAGATTAAAGTGAAAAGTCACAAAAATTGAGGAATTGTGAAAATGAAACTCTTGACATTTAGGGATCAAATTCCTATCATTGAAAAGAAGATATAAGATAGTCTGCAAAGCCTAAAAGGGGGAAAGAAGCCCAGGGAGCCAAGAAAACTGAATTCTAGTTCTGGCTTTACCCTTAAAAACAAATCACTTAACCTCTCCAGGCTAGATACTTTCCATGGTCCCTTTTATTGTTAGCTTTCTCTTCTACATAAAGAGTGACTAAGGACACAAAATCCACAGATATGTAAAACATGCCTTCAGAATTCACAATTTAGTCTTAAATACATTATTAATAAAATAGCAAAATCATAGCATATATTAGTCACAGAACTTGAGCCTCTATTATTATGCTCAATAGATTTCCAAGTAGTTTTCATGTGAACCATGTAGGACTCAAATAGTAATAGAGCCCATATCCTATTTTCATTTGAAAATATTAAATCAAGCTTAGCAAGTAGGTCCATTTGTCCCTTTCTTTCATCAGACACAGGAGGGAAAAAGATTCTTTGTCATTCGTAAGGCTGGTTAGCAGGAAAATAATGATTTATCTCACTAGACTAGTGGTGTACTTGTTGATACTCTATTTATTTTAACTTCCTTCCCATTTTAATCACATTTCCATACAATACAATAAATAGAAGATATCTGTTCAACCTCTCTATACTCTGAAAAACCAGATGATTATTCCCATCATAATTACATTTACATTCAAGAGGGTGGTTTCTCCATAAGTTTACCAATTTGTTCTGAAAGTTAGAATTGAAAATTAGTATCTCCATAACTTACAAAGGGGATAAACACACTACAAATAACAAAAACACCTTTTAAAATTCATGATCATGACTTTTAAAATCATTACATAGAAATTATGACATATGTCTGAAGATTATTCTTGATTTATTTTAGAGGGGCTACAAATATACAAATGTAGATTAAGAAGTTAACACGACATTAAACAAATTCCTTTTCTATTACTACTGTTTTACCTTTTGCATTTAGCACACTTTTGAGTGTTGTTTTTTGTCTTCTGATATTTTTATCGTACTGGGAATTGAACCCACAGTCCTACCACTGAGTACACCTCCAGCACTATTTGGGAAATTTTTATTGGAGCTATTCTTTCACTGTATTATGAAACTAGTTTTCAAGATTCTTTTTTAATCTTTTAAGGCAGGATATTTGCTAGCAAGTCATCCATAACCATTAAATTAATTCTAAAAACATGAGAATGAGAACTTGAAGGCATAATTAACTTCAAACCTTATGAGGATATGAACTGTTTTAAAAATATTTTTTAAAAATCTGAGAAATAGTGATTAAATTAAGTAAGTTCAGAGAACATCTGACTTTAGTTTTCACTCTGTCACTATGATACGTTTCAATTTTAGTATAAATGCTCCAACTTTTAATGCTCATAATTTTTACAGGAGAAACACAGTGTTACATTTAGAAGTTCTACCATCTGATGCTGTCATAGAAGCAATTGCTACTTACACTCTTTTAAGAAGTGAGAATTGCAATTCCTCTAACTGATGACAATGTAATTATTCCTTTTACTGTCAAAATAGAGGTGATTTCCCTTCCTTACACACATGATTACACATGCAAATCTAGGCTTATCTGAAATCTTACAAGCGTACTCAAATCCGAATCTGAATGAGTAAGATCACATGAACAATGAGCCTTAGTGATGATGGAAACCAAGTCTACAACCATCTACCCCAAACATACTTTTATCATCCCCTTTTCCTGTAGAAACTCATTCTTCAGCATCCACACAGCTTTCAACACAATGTCATATCATCTACAGTATACGGCAACAACCACTGTAAAAATAACTAGGAAGAAAAAGCCATGGTGAATTTGAATGTCTTGTTTGGAGGTTTAAATGACTTCAATAACTATTCATTAACACATTCGAAAATCAGCCTTCAGAAAAAAACAATCCTTTCACAAGATCTATGCCATGCTGTGAACACCCCAATGATATCCTACCTGGTCTCTCAGCTGCTGTACAGAAGTCTGAAGGTTCAGAATCTGACTGAAGAGTGGGCTCTGCAGGACTGACTTTAGAAGGCTGAGTTTGTCTTCATTTGCTACATCCCCACGTTCTCGTAGCTTGGCTTGCAAGCGCTCTGCTGCCTGCAGGGCCCGATTTTTATCTATTCCAAAGAGTAGCATTAGTAAATAACAGGACTCAAAACATTCATATCAAGCATATAAGGATCCCATGCTTGTGGAAATTCTCAAATCATGCCTCTTAAGTGCACAAAATTGTCTTTTTTGAGTAAAAAGTTTTACAAAAGTATACAATTTTAATAAAGTACAAAAGAACAAAAAGTACAAGACTGAGCACTTTTTAATACTTTGAATATTTTCTCTCAAAATTAAACAGCAAATTACACAGTATTTTTTATATTTACATTTGCTTCAAACCAACGGGATTGGTTTGGAGATAAAACAGAAAGGGTGTAACATGTAACATGTAACTGGAAATGTGCCCCACAAACCTTGAAGGCTCCTATAAGAAAGTTTCTTTGAAAGCAAGAAATTGGTTATATTGTGTGCTGAATACAACTAGTCACAGAAACCAATTCACATGATGGCTCTCTAAATTCCAATGTGAGCTGTTTCAACTCTTTCATAAAAACCATCGACTCTCCTCCTACCCTTAAAACATGAAGCTGTCTAAGCATCAACCGTAATCATCAAGGTGACAGAGTAAAATCTAGATACCTTCAAAAAGTTATAATAGATAAGCTACCTGGAATACGTACAGGACTGCTATGTCTGATGATGGCAGATATGTACCACACCTGATATACTTGTAAACAGACGTATAAACTAGTTTATCTAGAAGGGATTAACACATAAACATGGGAAATCTAGCTATTTCAACCTAAATTATCTCATGAGGAAATTAAATTGCCTTCAATGAAGTTACCAGCTAAAGAGATTGTTACTGTTCTCCTTGTCAAGTAAAAGCAAGAGCTCAACCAGGTATGGCACATGCCTGTTATACCAGCTACTTAGGATGCTGAGGCAGGAGGGGTCACAAGTTTGCCACCACAATGAGCAACTTAACAAGACTCTGTCTCAAAATAATTTTATTTTAAAAAAGGGATGAGAGTACAGATCAGTGGTAGAGTGCTGGGTTCAATCCCCAGTAAAATACACACGCACGCGCACACACACACACACACCCCCAAGAGCTCAGAGGCAATTCAGCCACAAATACAAGAATAATGGTCATCTTTCAATATTAAAATACTAATAAATTTTCTCCTGTAATCCAGAAACAAATATTAACTACAACTGGGTTCATGAATTAGAATTAGGTATACATTAAGCTTTATTAAGACCCATAAATGGTAGAATGTCATATTTATTTTTATGTACAAATTATGTGTGTTTTGTAACACTTCACATGAGACTGATCAAATACAGAAAAGTATTATCCTGGCACAATGTTAGTGGATAACAACCTTTTAAATCTAAGTTACCACAGATAGAATCTGCTATATAAAACATATCGTACTCAAAGATCCCAACGGAGGGAGTTTCAACTTTTAAAAATGCAGAAAAAAAAGAATAAGTCTTACCTATGGTTTCCAACATTTCTTTCAAAGTTCTTCTCTAAAATGATTTCAAACAGCAACTAAAATGGAACTCTGAGGGAAAAAGGACATAAAATGAAAGGGTTACGTTTTCTCAGAACTGTAATTTTCTTCTAAAACTAAATACTCTAAATAGCACTTGATACCATTGTAATTCCTCTGACCATTAACTCCTGTTGATATAACTTCACATAGTTCCCATTACAGGCAAAAAAAAAAAAAAAAAAAAAAGTCAGCACTCTAGAACTTACTCAAAATGATATGCACATACCCATGTTAACTGCAATAATAAGTAGAAAAGCTTAAATTCTGTTTTAAATAAGATGGTACAAGTTTCTATAATATTTCCTGAAGAGCTTCTCAGCACAGACCACTGTAATCTTGGATTAATTTACAGATCCTTAACCACAGAATAAGGAGCTTACTTGAATCTGCATATGAAATTCTCTAGGCAAAAATGATAAATGAATTTGTGATCTTACCCTCAAATGCTCACAGCCTTAACTGGGAAGATATATACATACCAATTAGACAAGAACTGTGACACCAAAGCAGTACAGGTAATACTATACTGCTTTAATACATTAAATCATGGATTAAAAACTGAATAAAAGAGAGTGCCCGCTTAAATTTTTCAAAGGTTTTTAAACTATCCTTCTAACTATAATGTTCTCCTCTTTCCACTTAAAAATACCTTCTCAATTCCTTCTTTATCTTCACATAGATCTTATCTTTCCCTGGAAACACTTAATTGGACACTTTGAAGTCCTGGGTACAGATATGCACAGCCAACATCCACATCACTAACCATAATCAGCCTCTGCTATACAATTCTGCACAACTGTCTCCAGAGGTACAACCACCCTTTGCTTCGCAGAAAATCCTGAGTTAACCAGGTGTCAGTCTTCTCAGAGAAGGAATCTATCACCACATATCCTCATTCTTCAACTGGAAGGTGAGACAGGCCATTTTTCTGAGAAAGACCAAGTTGCCCTCTATTACTTCTTCAAGAGGAAAGGATTCTTGGCAAAAAGTAGATATATGTAGATGAGCAGATGCATAGAACATCAATGCCCTACAATTTGCTCTGAATAATAACAGAAAATAGTACTTGCTAACTTCCTTATCCCAATATAGAACAGTAGTCTAAAAACACCAACTCCATTCCAAATAGTCAAACAGCTCAACTAGTGGCACTTATTTTAAAACTGCCCTAGTATCAAGGAGAGGGCACTGGCTCTGACCTAGAATTAAAACTTAAATAACAGTGTAGCTTTTAGCAAGTAGCCTAACATCTCAACCTTGGTTTTATAGAATATAAACTTATTCATTGAGTATCTTGTGATAAATGAGATAAATAATGTATGCTAATTTCCAGCTTACAAAAAACTCATAATTATAAAATATACATTCAGGATTAATGTTGAGTCCATATAGGTTAGCATTCCCATGCAAGACAGTATATATTCATGAGGCACTATACAGAGAACTTAAAGATAAATTTGCGATATTTTTAATTCTTATTTATAAGGAAACTACAATACTCTTTCAAAAAATATCATAATAGCAAGTACCCTCTGAAAAAAATTAACTTCTGAAAAATTAAACCTAAAAGTCAGGAGACCCCAAGTCTACCAACATGTATCTAATTAAATAGACAGAGGAACCATGAAAGCAATGAAGAAGCATGAATAAGTTTGTCCTTGTTAAGTTGCATATTTTTTCTGACTCTAGATCTATTTACAAATAAATCTTATTAATAAATTTTAGAAGGAAAATAATTATATATATTAATGTTTGGTATGCACAATAAAACTTAGCTCTATCCACTTTACCTTATGAAAAATTAACTCAGAAAGATAGGCACTATTCATGACGTGGGGGAAAGGTAGCCTATGAATATAGCCACTGATTTATGAAGAGTCTGCAGAGAAAGTTGGGCAGGAAGTTCCCAACAGAGAAAAACACGGCCATCCAAAGTTCACCAAGAAGTCAGTAATGCAGATGTAGAGCTACTTACACTACTACCCACCCCTCAAGAAACTTGTTGTAAGAGTTTAAAAAAAAAAAAAAAAAAAAGCCACTCCTGTTGCAAGTCGCTGACAGTGTCTCCCAGGAGAGAGCTAACAGTAACATATGTGAATTTCAGTGATAAAACATAGTACAGTTTCATAGCTTCTCTGTACTGGTCTAATGTCCCTAAAATAAAATCATAGCTTTTTTGAAGTTTACAGGGGATTTCACTATTTACAACCATGCCAAAGAGATAAGTTGTTTGTTTGGTTTTTTTAAAAAGGGTTTTTCTTATGTCCCTTATCCTTATCCCCAAAACCCAGTAAATTCAGTTCTAATTATATATAAATCATTTGTAATTGAAGAACTTTTAAGATAGATCAAATCTACTTCTTTCAAACTGCAAATTCATTTTCACCCACCCTTTCACCACCTTACCATCTCCCTTCTCTTTTTACCCATTTCAACACTACATGGAAATATAAGGTTACCTGGGTCATAAAAGCAGACCATGGTCATAGGGTAAGTCTTATAGGAGACCCAACAATAGGTCAGAAGCAGCCCAGGTTCTTCCTGGGCAATTCATGCTAGCAGTGACAATGCTGAATCAAAGAGGCAGTAGAAATGAGCTGTAGAGATGACCAGGAGATCTACACTACTATGGGGGCAGAAGCAGCAATAATAACAGCAAACAGGGCACCTACAAAATGCTAGGCACTTACTGAAGCATGCTATCCAGTTATATCCTTTAACAGTCATACAATCCATTGACTTTACATAAGTCATAAAAAGACTAAGAAACTTGCCTAAATCACACCACTAGTAAGTAATGAATCTAGAGTTTGAGTACAGGCAGATAGGCTCCAGAGCCCACAATTAACTCCTACAATATGCTGCCCCTCATTAGGAGGAAAAATTTATCTTACCACATTTTTCCCTTTTCCAAGTTCAAAATTGCCATGCAGACCTTGCCCTTTATGAGGTGAAATGAAAGGAAGAAATAAGGACCCAAGTGTAAAGCATATGAATATAAATATATTGTCAATTTTTTAAAAAATGTGCAGTATAATACATTAAATTGCTACAACTTGTATAATATAAGGGAAATGCTTATTCAAGAAAAATTATTAGGTACATGTTTGTTTTTAAAAGCATAATAGGCACAAGTTTATAAAATATTTCTGCAAGTTTTATGGCTAATAGTAAACTATGACAGGAACAGAGGACACTGAAGGAAACCTATTTTGCACTGCATTCTTTTTCAGCTTTCTATCTTAATATAGAATAGCTCAGATTTAGCAAATAAAAATACATGATGCCTAGTTAAATCTGAGTTTCAGATAAATTATTTTTTTTAGTGAATAACCTATACAGTACTTAGAAGATAGTTATATTAAAAAAAAAACTAATTTTGTTATTTATTTGAAATACTTTTGTTTGTTATTATTGTTGTTGTTGTTGTGTTGATTTTGGGAATTGCATAGGATGCTCTACCACTGGACTATAACCCCCAACCCTTTTTATTTTTATGTAGAGACAGGGTCTTTCTAAGTTGCCAAGGCTGGCCTCAGAATTTGTGACCCTCCTCCCTCAGCCTCCCAAGTAGCTAGGACTACAGGTGTGTACCACAATGCCCAGCTTTAATTCACCTTTAATTGGGCATTTGTTATTCCATATGGCAAGTCTACTATATATGTATTTGCTTAGAAATTTTAAATTTAAGACAACATTTTAATTTAAGGCCTGAGAGCTTCCTGTCAAAATATAATGACAACATTACCAAATCTTTAATAAATCTAAAGATTCTACCTGTGACCATATGATTACCCAACAACTGGTTGATAACATCAGTTTCAGCAGGGGAGAGAAATCAAACTGAGTATTTGCTTTTATTGATGAAAAGAAACAGAGTAATTGCCTAATCATTTTTAATTTCCAACAAGTTGTACTGGTAACATGGAGACACAGCTTTTATGTAGAAAAGAATCAGTGTTTGAAACAACACAAATCTGTCCAATGCAGATTTCATGGCAATGAACAAATGAAATATGTTTTGTGCTAAAAATAACTCTATGAAGAGAAACTGCCCCAAATGCATACAATTTTCTAAACAATTCTGACAGAATAAGGAACACAAAATTTAAAAAGCTTGTTGTGATGGTTTGTAGCTTGTCAAAGTTGTTCATCATCTGTTATTGGCTTAAATTTAGCATTAGTCTCATTTATAGCAGCCTCAGCACTACTGAAGTTAGCAGACAAAAGCAAGATTGTAGCTGTTTACAGGTAGTTTGTTATCAATTCAGTTGGTAATGACAGCAATATTACACCTTCAGTCATAATTTCTACCTTGGATAACACTACTGAACTATTGCTCTGAAAGGAAAGAAACGTCACGGTATCCACCAATATCATGTTGTTATCAGCAGAAAACATCAGCCTTTTCTTAGCATCTGTTCTTTTTAACTTTGCTCTCATTCTTATAGGCTTTGATCAGAAAAAGTATTCCTGAGCACAATTTTTATTATAGGCTTTGATCAGAAAAAGTATTCCTGAGCACAATTTTTATTTTCAAGTTGTCATTTCTAAATATTTCCAAATGCCTAAAGTAAGAATAAAATTTATTAATTCAATTTTGTTCCCCAAAAATCAAAGAAAATTAACTATCAAGGAAATTTCGCTTATCAACATACTTCATATATAGATATTCTTTTTCATTGATATTCTTATCCTCCATTTATGAAGCCATATACTTGTCCAAAGTAAAAAGTCTGAGGCGTTTATTGGGTTAGAAGAGAACTCAAATTCTGTTATTAACCCATTCAATATACACACAAGGTGCCCACATGATGGGCATACTATCAGGTGGCAGAATTAGAGAAATGAGGACTCAGTCTGGGAACCCAATATAAGTGAATGGGAAAAAAAAACAGTAAGATGACTATTAAAATACAGAAACACAAAAAGGGGACCCAAATGCCACACTGAGGAGTCAGGGAAAACTTCCTGAAGGCCTAAAAAACAGGCAGGAGTTAAGACAGAAGTTGTGAGAAGTACCTCCTGAGCACTGCAAAATTTGTTGTACCTGGATTGGTATGGGTGAGAAAAGGGAAAGGAAGAGGTAACAAGGCTGGCACATTTCCTCCTTTGATTTGGAAACTCCACTTCCAATAAAAATCTGAGATCTTACTAGCAAAGACTTTTTTTTTTTTTTTTTTTTTTTTTTTTTGGTACCAGTGACTGAACTCAGGGGCACTGGACCACTGAGCCACATCCCAGCCTGATTGTGTATTTTATTTAGAGACAAGGTCTCACTGAGTTGCTGAGTGCCTTGTCCTTGCTGAGGCTGGCTTTGAACTTGCGATTCTCCTGTCTCAGCATCCTGAGCCACTGGGATTACAGGTGTGCACCACCTCGCCGGGCTGGAAAGACAATTTTAATAAGAGCACTAAGGTAATTAAGAATCGTAATTGGGAAACAGTTATATCAGAAAAACAAGGCATGTAAAGTTACAGCTGTGAGTGAATAAAATACCATGAATTATTCAGTTTTAGTAAGAGCATGAGAAAAGCCACAAGCTATAACCAAACAAAGAATAAGCCCAATGTCCAAAAACATGGGATCAGAGAGTTCATTACATAAATGAACCCACAGTTCTGTCACCAATATTCACAAATAATGAAAATACTTCTGGCTAAAAAAAAAAACTACATTTATAGAAAATCAAAATGCGGGCTGGGGATGTGGCTCAAGGGGTAGCACGCTCACCTGGCATGCGTGCGGCCTGGGTTCGATCCTCAGCACCACATACAAACAAAGATGTTGTGTCCGCCGAAAACTAAAAAATAAATATTAAAAAATTCTCTCTCTCTCTCTCTCTCTCTCTCTCTCTCTCTCTCTCTCTCTCTCTCTCCCTCCTCTCTTTAAAAAAAAAAGAAAGAAAAAGAAAATAAAAATGCTCTTACTCCAAACACCACTAGAAAAATAAGCCAAATGTGCATATTAAAAATTTAAGGTACCATTAAAATAACAGAAATTATACAGACTCTATATAATTGATATACCAGGTGGAAAAAAAGATGAAACAAACAAATACTCAAGAAAACTAAAAAAGATTGAGAATAAAGAAAAAAGCAAAAGCACAGTCAACAAGAAACACAAATAAGAGAGTTAAAATAAATTTAGATATCTATATTTACTATAACTATGAAAATATTAGAGTTACTAAAGAATGGATTTGTAATCCAGATTTTGAAGATAAAATTGAGATTTGAGAATAAGTATAGTTTGATACAACTTATCTAAATTTTAAATGTATACATAATAATATATGTTACATAAATACACATATTTGCTTTCATCATATTTAAGGATGGCTTAAAAGCCCACATTCTGAAATCACAGCAATAGTTACTTTCAGAGACGAACAGATACAAGGACTAGCTTCAAAACATGTCAAAGGGGGAATTTAGCTTCCTCTATTTTTTTAAGAAAGCAATATTTTCATGTTTTAAAGTATACTCATAAAAAGTAAGCGGATTATAATATTTATTGACCAAATGGTGCAATATCTGCAATTTACTTCAAAAAAATGGAAATGGACAGCGAAATGGCTTAGAGTAAAGAAAAAACAAAGCTGACCATGAACTGAAGGTTATTAAAAATGAAGAATAGATACCAGATTACTGCACTCTTCTGCTTGCCTTTATGTACATTTGAAAATTTTCATTAAAAAAAATTTTTAAAACTAAGCTATTGGCAGTAAATACATGAAAATGTTATCAATATCTGCTGTGGGAGAGGACAAAAATTAGAGATGAACATATTTTTTCTTTAAAATTCACAATATTTTTTAAAATTCTCCCTGCCATCTTTCCTTATCAAAAAAATATTTCACTGCAAACTACTAAATTACTCAGGAAATTTTTTACCCTTGGTAAATGGTCCCAAATAAATAATTTCTTCAAGCTAGATTACTTAATTCCAGCAAAAAAAAAAAGGAAATATGAAAAGATTTCCTCAAAAATTAGTATCTAACGAAGAATCATTTTCAGTTTTAATTTACTTTGATTTTCGGGTGGCTACTCTGCTTCTAGTTTTATCGAGCTTTTTAGGTATGAGACTTAGAAGCAGATGCTTATGGCCTTTGCCAACTCCATGTCAGAGAGCAGCCAGGCAAAAAATGTTCAACAACTGTTGATGTTCTGTTTTGGGATATATACATAATCTAAACCAAAACCGCACCTTCAGGAATGATGAGTAAACCCAAGAGTAGAGAAATATATATCTGTTTCAATTAAAAGAGATTCATGTTATCTTTCATGTATATTCAAAAGGCAATTCAATATAATCAACAGTCATAGTACGTGTAAGATAATACTAAAAATAAGGATATGTGACATATTAATACACCATTATATAAACAATATTTTGATCACGAATCCATAAAATTTAAAGAAATTTGATGAAAATAGTATTATCTCATTTCTGTTGTCAGGACTTTTGTAATGGGAGAAAAAATCCTATCTAAAAGGAAAACACATAGGATATAGAAATTAAAACATTTTACAAGTAGGCAAACTTACACAACAAATGTATCTATACTAACAAACCTGCTCATTAAATTTGCTTTGGTTTTGAAAATTACTTTCTTTTTTTAAAGATGCCTGGCCTAAGGTGAAATGTTCTTTGTTCCTTCAAAAGTATATATGTTCTTTCCTTAATTGCAGATTATCAAAAACACATTGATACTAGTTTTATAAAGACATGTTATCAGTTCATGTTCACTTCCAAAATTATACACTTAAATTACTTTTTTGTGATTTTTCTGAGTTAAGTTCTTTATGTGTTGCTTATACTCAACTGCAAAGTCAATTTGAGTTGAAAGGAATCTCAAACATGTAGCTCACAGCTACACAAGTTAGACCTCACTGAGGCTGGATTCTATAAATCAGGGGTATGTCTGAGATTAGAACCTCAGGCTGCTGCTATTACTAAACTATAACTTCTCATTATAAAAAATATATTAGATAATCAATTCTATTTATAGTCCATTGTATCATATTTATGTCCTTCACCCTCCAATTGTTTAAAGAGTCCATAATTGTTTTAAGAGTCCAAAATATACATTAAAACTATGGATTCCACACCTTTTCACTGGGCCCCCATTTTCACATATTTTCCATCCATAAAGTTCTCTTAGAAGATTCCAAAGGGCAAAGTGCCCTCCCTTCAAATTGTTAACTCCCACCAATCATAGTGATTCGGGGAAAAGATTTACATATTTCTGATAAAGAAGATTTAGTCTCTTCTGTGTTCTCACTCCCTAGTTAAACTCAAAAGGAATTTAGGTTGTTGGGCAGTTCGCCCCTATTTGCTACCACATTTTCAGTGCTAAGGGCCAAGATGCAACATACCAAGCATATTTCTTGGACAGAACCAGGCACAGGGATTCCTCCAAGGGCTGCACTTCTAGGTGAACAACATGCCAATGCCAGATTGCAGAGGCAGCCAGCCTCTCACTCTAGCCACAATATATTTTTTTTTTGGGGGGGGGGGGGGGGCGGGGGTGACCTAAAACATGCAGAAGAATTAACTTTGTGGCATAGAATTCTCAGGTGTAATTCCTACACTGGCAACAAATTCTCCAGAGAAATTATTTCAGGCTCCTGCCTTTTGCCTGCCTGAAATGAGGCAATTCCCTAGTGAAGCCTGGGCAGACTGTGTCCTTGGTGCTTCTAAAAAGCGAGACTACACAAAGCTTCTCCACAGGACCCAGAAACTCAGCTGGCAACTGGTCTATGTTTGAACTTAACTGTAATAAGAGGGAACAGACGGTAACGAGATGTCTATTATTTCTCAACTGCCCACTCAAGGAAGGATTTTCAGTTAAGGAGATCTTAATGACAATATTTAGACAAAACAATAACTGGCACTGTCATTTGTAACCAAGTGATTCTTCAGTGGAAAGCCCTAAAGGTTGGTGAGTAGAGACAAACTTTCCAATACCCATAAAGAAAGAGGAGGTGGAAAGAGGAGGTGGGAGAGTTGACCAGAATATTAACAATGCTGTTTCAACTTACCACCTTATCCAATAACCTCAGGTTTACACTATTCTCCAAAGGTCATTTTCTATCTTTCCTTTTTTATTCTATTTTTTTCTTGAGAAGGGGTATGGGGGGTAGGTACAGAAGATTAAATCTAGGGGTGTTTCACCACTAAGCTACATCCCTGGTCCTTTTTTATTTTGAGCCAGGGTCTCACTAAGTTGTTGAAGCTGGTCTAGAACTTGGAATCCTTCTGCCTCAGCCTCCTGGTCACTGGGATTACAGGCAGGCACTACCAGGCCTGGCTCCCTATAACTCTTTAAGTAACTGTACTTCCACCATTTCCATATTATTGTTCCAAATTATTTCTTCCATCCTGGAATCTTTCCTATAAAAATTATGAAGAGTATCATCTATCATATGAGCTACTTAGTTATTACTGAGCTATAAGTATTATACATAATTAGATATTTTTGTCCTTCCCCATCAATCATGCATTCAAAATTCAGTTTGTGGCTTCCATAATTTCCCTTTGCTGAGTTTGGATATAAATAAAGACAAAGTTTACAAACTTTACTCAAGAAATAGCTGTCTCAAATTTCTGATCAGAAGTCCTCTGGGACAGACACTGGAGTAGTACTTAATGTGGCTGTTTTTCTCTCCTGTAAGTGGGCTTGTGGTAACTAGTGACTTGCAAGCCCTCTTGGTTGAGTTCCAGCTCTGTGCAGAAAAGCACCCTGCAGGTATTATGAAGGGCTTGTGAGTGATCACTCTTGCTCTGAGGCTATTCTTCACAATACTTTTCATGGAGCAATTCAGAACCTTCAAATACACTTGGCAGAACAAATTTTGGAATTATCAATGCTTAATTGTTGAAACATATAAGAAAATTTTGTGCATTTTAATGATTCCCAAACACATAACTTGTTAACACGAGATTTTACAAATATGTAAATGGAGGATCAAAGAGATAACTTTATCAAGATCATCTAACTCAGATCATTTATTAAGCAATCATATTTCTATAGGTTTTTGGGTTTTTTTGTTTTGTTTTGTTTGTATAAGGGATTGAACCCAGAGGCATTTAACTACTGAGCCATGTCCACAGCCCTTTATTTTGTGACAGGGCCACACTAAGTTGCTGAGGCTGGCTTTGAACTTCCATCTTCCTGCCTCAGCCTCTGGAGCCGCTAGGATTACAGACATGCGCCATCGCACCCAGCCTCTATAGCTATTTTTGTAGGACGTACTGAAAAGTCTATATATACTGAAAAGCTGCAGGAGGATTTGAGAACCAAGAGTGAAAAGAGGAAAGAAGGAAATAAGAATGGAGGATTGAAAGTTACTCAATCAGATTGGATATCTACTCTGACTGGATTCCTTAAGTAACAAACTTGTCAATTTTTCATAGTGTTTTGCTGATTTAAAAAAGCAACTTTATTCCTCAGATACAAATCTGCCATCTAATACTCCCTTGGAGATGCAGAACTTTCCAAATATGTTTTTATCATTGGAATGTCTAAAACGTAGGCTTGGTTATAACCTACAAATTGAAGCAACAATCTGTTATTTGGGGCTTTCAAAAAATGCTATTCACTAACAACCAGTAATAAAACTGCATTTAAGAATTAGTTGCTACTACATCTACTATAATAATGATTCTTCCTAAGGACAAAATATTTTCCACAAGTGAAAGTTTTAACTTCAAAATTGGGATCATTTTTACTGTTTGAAATGAACTACTTATAAAATAGTTTTCATATACCCTGTTTTCTTATGCAGAACATGCGTT